AATAATTACTGCCAGAGTTATGGCCCTTGATCACTTTAAAAAATCTTGTGGACGCTTTAGAGGCTAAAGTTAATATCCGATTGACTTTAAATTTATACACAGTGTTTAAGGTCATGAGTCGAAGAAGCCTATGGATTTTCAGCGATTTCCGATAATTACTGCCAGAATTATGTCCCTTGATCACTCTGAAAAATCTTGTGGACGCTCTAGAGGCTAAAGTTAATATATAATATAAAGTTCAACCTATTTTCTGGTTCAGAAAGATGGATCACACCTTCATCATGTTACAAAAGTAAATGATACTGTCATCCCCCTGAATCACTTGAACAACTAACATTCAAGAATGAAGTTCACAATGGTGAATAAAACCAACAGCAGCCTCCAAGTTTTTAATGTAATGGTAAGAAGAGATAACTCCAATGTCACCACCACCTTAGAAAACCAACACACATCGACCACGTTTACTAAAAGAGTCAAAACCATTTGTGACCCCTCAACCTGTAGTACAACACCTAAAAGACGTCTTTATCGAACACAACGACTATTCAGAACATATGGTAAACAAGTTCACCAAAGCCACATTATCCAACCTATCAAAACTTGATAAACCAAAAACGTCATACACCCCCAATCAATTTAGAAGGTAATTAAAACAGAAGCAGGCATAGAAACCACAACCCCCAAAGGCGCAACAACTAATGGAAAGTCAAACCTCGCAAAGCCTATACCTTTCCAAAAGGCTGTGTCTACCAAATTAACTGTAGATGTGGAGAATCCATTGGTGAATTCATTGGCTAATACTTCATAAAATTAATTATGAAATCAATATAAGAAAGCATACCTTTGGATTTTTAAATACAAAATAAGTTTGATTATTCAACATCATCAAATTCCAAAGAATTTACTACACGTGTTACTATCACAAGCCATGCTGTATGGTATGGTACCAGTGACCCGTATGTCAATCTTGACCCCACAGCATTGCGCACTCAGTGATAATATAAACAATTTTACTATTCTATTTTAATATTATTTCATCACCTCATACTTGTTTCCATTTGAGATTTTGTTTATGGAGTGATGAGGTGAATCCTGTAACAATTAATCTGTCAATCAGTTGAGGCTATTTAATGCTTGGCAGCGAGTGCTAATAACGTATACAAATGTCAAAACTTCGAGCGGGGGGGGGTGGGGGTGGGGGGGAATTTAGAGTCATTAACTTCTCGAGACTTATTACAAATGGCAAGTGCTATTTGAAATATTTATGTGGTCTTAGTGAAAGAAACCAATGTTGTGTCTATCATTTCTGGGTTTGAAAGTCAGGTATCATATGAAAACGAATACCGATTAGTAATTTTTTGAACAGGTTCAACAGTGCAACCGAACCGTGACCGGTTAACCGAGTGACCGTTTACATCCTTAATTCTTACCAGTAATGCTGGCATCAGGGTGGTACGAATTAGTGGAAGGCACGACTAGACCAACTCCTCCCTAGGTAACAAAAAATCGCATCATAAAACAGCAAGTATCATCAAAAGCGAGTTAATAAATCTCTGAATAGTTCGAGTTGAAGTTCCAGGTTTAACCGCTATGTGTCCTAATCACCAAACGAAATGGGCAACGTTATTCGGGATTCGCCACTAAAACAGAACGACCTACGTTGCATTCAACCATTTCCTCTCTACCCCCGGCCATAGGGGTAAGTGAACGTTGAGTGACCAACTCACAAGGAGACGACCGTTTGTCGAGTGAATAGGGTGTTGGCTGGTTTGTTGGCGTGCACGGGGCTGTCATCTCCACCAATCACCTGTTGTATTGCCGAATCCCAAATCCCGAATAACGTGCTGGCTCGTTATTCGTGATTCGCGAATAGAATAGTAATAGAAAATAGATATTAAATAGATATTAATATTAAAATAGAATAGTAAAATGGTTTATATTATCACTGAGTGCGCAATGCTGTGGGGCCAAGGTTGACATACGGGTCACTGGTACCATACTATACAGAACGACCATTTCCTCTCTACCCCCGGCACCAGGGGTAAGTGAACGTTGAGTGACCAAGTCACAAGGAGACGACCGTTTGTCGAGCGAATAGGGTGTTGGCTGGTTTTAACGAAAGTCGAACTCAGTCGTCCTTAGGGTATAACGGTGGTGTAATAATACAGTTTTTTAAATTGGATAAAAATTATGACCTCTATAGGGTCTACAAGCTAAAAACGCGATTTTGCGTACAATCAGGGGCCATAATTCAGGAAGTTACGGTCCGATGTGCACGAATATCTAGAGGAACCAAGATTTTTAGGTTATAAACTTACATTTCAAGTTTCAACAAAATCGGATAAAAATTGTGACTTCTATAGGGTCCACAACCTTGATACACCGTATTTTTACGCTATTTGAGAATGAACGGAGGCCATTTTGTCTGTCAATTTTAGGCCGATTTCCCGAAATTCGAACTCAGTCATCCTTAGGGTGTAACGGTGATATAATAATACATTTTTTTAAATCGGATAAAAATTATGACCTCTATAGGGTCTACAAGCTAAAAACCCGATTTTTCGTACAATTGGTTGGCCATAATTCAGGAAGTTACGGTCTGATATGCGCGAACCGAGATCTTTGGGTTATAAACTTACATTTCAAGTTTGAACAAAATCGGATAAAAATTGTGACCTCTATAGGGTCCACAACCTTGATACACCATATTTTTACACTATTTGAGAACGAAGGGCGGCCATTTTGTTTGTCAGTTTTGGGTCGATTTTCACGAAATTCAAACTCAGCCGTCCTTAGTGTGTAACGGTGATATAATAATACAATTTTTTAAATCGGATAAAAATTATGACCTCTACAGGGTCCACAAGCTAAAAACGTGATCTTGAAGGGTCACATGCTCTTGAAGGGTCACGTGCTCGTGATATATGATTTCTTTTTCGTCTTGACATGTGAATTTTTTAGTGTTGACATGTGAATTTTTTAGTGTTGACATATGAATTTTTTCGACATGTGAAAAATAATTTTGTTGAATTGTTTATAAAAACCGAATATAGTGGTAAAATATTTCCATGAACAGTATAAACTGACTTGACTATAACAAAATACAAGAGCAGCAATGGAAAAAAATAATCTTTATTGAATCATTATACGTCGTTTTGTACAGAAAAGATGCTTGGAAGGTGATGAAAAAATTGTTATATACTCGATTTTTCCTCTTTCCATGCAGAAAAATGGTCTTGCAATTAATTCCACTTTGGCTTGCCATAATTTTCACTTCAAAATAAATAAGAAAGGTCTCTCTTGTTATTTATGATGACAATTATATGTCAACAACATGGAATCTTATATCCTTTTGAAGAGAAAATATACCTATTTGTTGGAGGGAACAATAGTTTGCTACTTTAGATATATTTTGGAACGATGACACTATACATTATGAGGCAGAAAATTAATTGGTGTTTGTACATTTTTGTGCAAAACATTACACGAAATAAGAAATAAATTGGTTGGTGTTCATTGGTAGAATTGTTATTGTTTGGGGTAAGGCAGTTTTTCTGTTATTTTTAGAGCAAAAGGAGATTCTGGTTGACTTATTTTGTCTTTACCTGATCAGACATAATAATTTTGTAGCAATAATTTTTCAGTTAGCTGATAGTAGTGAAAGTGAAAGAACTTCGATCAGTCAGAAGGTAATTGGTAGTTGACTAGCTAACCGCATGTGGACAGTTTGCTTAACACTGCATGTACTGAACGTGGGCGTGGCCTGTCTGTTTTTGTTACCCCTAAGCGATCGCAATGTTTCTTCTACAAATTGAAAACAAGTATGGCGGTCGTTTAGGGCGTTACCTTTTTTTATTTAATTATTTCTGTAGTTTTGTAATCAGAGTTCAGCTTTAAGAATTGCGGCCTGTAGGCGAAACACAAGTCATACATAAAAATTGTGTGTGGCTCTCTCCCAGGCGGTCGGAAATGCTCCAAACTGGGCTAATGAAGACGGGCATACACCATACAGTGTGCTATGAGGGAAATTTTGCCCGAACAGCGGCGCTGCGGCCTACTCTTATATCGAATTCCAACTGTCAAGGGATCTTTTACATGCACACCGATGTATACACGTGACCTCAGTTTTTCGTCCCATCCAAACGATTAGAGAGCTGTCCTTTTCAGGCTCTCCGTCCTGCATCACTGACAAGGGGGAACCACGACGAAAAATCGGGATGAACTTTCTCGACCAATGCAGGGGTCGAACACCCGACCTCCAGGTTAGCGAGCCAGCGTATTATCCACTTAGTCACCGTGACCCCCTCCAGGGGCTCGAGTATGCACCAAAAATAATAGAGGTCATCCTTAGGGTATAAGGAATAAGTATGAAAAGTTTTCAAGACGATCAATTAAGAATCGTGGCCTGTAGATGACACACAAAAAGAAAATGGGTATGGCTCTGCCCCTGGGGGTTGGGCATGCATCACAAACAACCGAGAGAGAAGAGAGAGAAATGGGGTTTAACATTCACTCAACACAAACTAGGTCATTTCGGGACTAACATATGGTTCAATTTTATTTCAGTAATTAGACTGCGTGTAGGGGTCTTTAGCAGTGGGAGGAAACCGGAGGACCCGGAGAAAACCCACTAGGTTGGACAGGCAACCCTACTCCTCGTCACGTACAACCGGGGAATCGAAACTACGTCAGTTGACTCAATGACAGACCTTATGATACAGCATGCACATGCTAACCATTCAGCCATCCAACCCCCCTCCACAAACAACAGGGATGTTCCTTAGGGTATAAGGAATAAGTATGCAAAGCTTCAATAGTTTCGACCTAATAAACACCTACACAAAGTTTGAACATTCTAGCTCAGTTAGAAGGAGGGTTATTGTGTCCCAAAAAGTGTGACAGACAGAAAGACGGATGGATGGACAGACAGACGGACGAACTCATTTTAATAGTCCCCTGCTTTCTTCGAAAGGTGAGGGACAATAACAAGACAATATTACCTTTAGCTGTGGTATCTGATCCATTATATGTCATCTGTAAAATAAATACATAGTAACCATCCACCCAGGCTTTTGCCAGATAATCTATTTCCTGAAAATACCAAAAATCAAATTTAATTAAGCAGTCAACATTTACCATTTTTCTATGAATAACATAATGAGTTTTGCCTGGACATTTGTGCTATTTCGAATTCCAACAGTCAAGGTTTCTTTCAAATGCAAGTCAATGTGTACACAGGACTTCGGTATTTTGTTGTCTTATTCCGAAGGACTAGACACCGTTTGGGGAGAGGCCCTTGTTTGAACCACTGACACAGGGGACAAGGGGAAACCACAATGGACATCTAGAGGTACTTTCTCTGCCAACACCGGGATTGAACCCAAGATCTCCTGGTTAGTGAGCCAGCACCTTCCCACTGAGCCTCCTATCAAAACACATTATAATTGTCTCAGAGGAATTCTTCAGAGGAACAGAATTTTTAAAACTTAACTTACAGATGTGTTTGTAGTAATCATTTGCATCGCTGTTGTTCCAGTTGCTCTTCTTTTCCTTTTATTTTGTTTAGGCAATACTGGAGTGGACTTTAGAGGTGTAGGTACATCAGGAGCCTGGGTAACATCTTTTGTAGCTGAACTATTGGGTTCCTTCAAAATATTCAAGTAATACAAATAAACATTTAAGAATCTGAAAAACCTCATGATAGTAAAGATAACTATATCATTAGACGGATCTAAAAACAATGTATGGGTACAAAAATGTCTTTGTACATTGGACAACTGAGAATCTTAATTTTACGGTAATCTTGTAGTCGAAAAGTTAACTTGGCTATTAAAATATTCAGATAAAAATACATGTTAATTAACTTGCATACTCAAAAAAAGATAGGTTGCCAGGCAACAAAACATGCATGCACAGCAGCTAAATTGTCTGAGTAGTCCACAAGGGTTGTTGCACATCTATGGTTTTGTAGGTAATTGGAGGATTTAACTGATCAAGAGTAAAAACCTATTATGTCATTATCAGAAATAATTCAAATTTGATTGGCTTCTAGATTTTCAAGATGCTAATATGTACTATACAAATCATGTACCAGTAACAATGATAAATTTAGCTGGTCGAGTCCTTAGAAATTGTTGAAAATATATGTTTCATCACATAAACACTGAGTGTTAATTTTAAATCAATCAGAAAATTATTTTAACCGCAAAGTGCATCCACAAGATTTTAAAGATAGGTTGCCAGGCAATGAAACATACACCCACAGCAGCTAAGTCGCCCAAGCAGTCCACAAGGGTGGTTGCATATTTTTTCTTTTGTCTGAAATGAAAGCATTTACAAGACACTAAGCAGCGGTTGCCAGGCAATATATGCCCACATAGAGAATAGAGAAAAATTTTTTTTATTTTTTATACAATCAGGGGCCATAATCCAGGAAGTAACGGTCTGATATGCACAAATATCGAAAAGAACGAAGATCTTTTGGATATAATCATATATTTTAAGTTTCATCCAGATACGATAAAAATTGTGACTTCTTGAGGGTCCACAACCTTGGTATTACATACTTTTACACTATTTGAGTACAATGTGATTTTTCGAACAATCAGGGGCTATATAATCCAGGAAGTTACATTCCGATATGCACGATTATAGAAATGACCCAAGATCTTTGTGATATAAACATAAATTTAAAGTTATCAAAATCAGATAAAAATTGTGACCTCTAGAAGGTCCACAATTTAAAAACGTAATTCTTCATACAATCAGGGGCCATATTCCATGAAGTTACAGTTAGATACATGCCAATTTCGAAAAGAACCAAGATCTTTGGGAGACCTATATTTCAAATTTCGTCAAAATCGGATAAAAATTGTGACATGCAGAGTGTCCACTAGTGCTGGGTATTGCGACTGCAGTCACGATACGATACGTATTGCGATTCATGTGCCACGATACGATACATATCGCGATTCATAACTAGGTCATAGATTTCACAATAAAACAACAGATTAAATATGTGATTGTGTTTTTAAAGAAGCTTGAACTTCTCCGCAGGTTGAAGTGACCGTCTTCTTAATCTTAGCAGACAAACGTAGACAGTCGCCACTATGGTGTCTTGTCAAGTGAGTGCTAAGATTGGTTGTATTACAACAATATTTTAGAATAGTTTTGCATATTCTACAAACAACTTTCGTTGTGTCACCTTTTAAAACCCCAAAGTTTTCCCAAACTTTAGATTTATATTTCGCTGGAGGATTTGTTATTGCGACTGTGTTTTCCGCCATTTTGATTTTTACAAGAGCTACTATCTATTATATTTACGTTCGAAATTGATAAAATTCTAGAGTAAAATGTTGCTTTATGTATTTAAATATGTATGTTTTATTAACTAAGCCTTATAACAAACTTTAAAATTCGGAAACAAAATGAAAAGGCGTTAAAATGTTGTTAATCTAAACCTACGAAACTAACGGTAATTACAGTCGTGCACTATCTATAGTAACACACATGTCAAGACTACTGGACATTCGTTTGCGAAGTGTCATTGTTTCAAATAAAGTTTAGGGTATAATTTAAAGTTTTTAAAGTTCATAATATATTTGAGAAAACGCAAAAAAGAATCATGAAAAATCGATTCGGCATCACGCGATTCAATACAGGTATCGTGAGACAGTGAATCGCGATACATTGATTCAACGATATATCATGCCAGCACTAGTGTCCACAGACAAATTGTGGATGGACAGGGGCGACAACAATATACATCCACATGAAAATGTGATATACAATAATTAATAGAATACAATATCAATCCAGCGGCTGCCAGGCAGGATACGCCCACATTTTACAAGAGATGGATAGAGAACATGCTAATCAAAGATAGGTTGCCAGGCAACAAAACATACGCCCATAGCAGCTAAATTGTCCGAGCGGTCGACAAGGGTTGTCGCATATTTATTCCTTTGTAGGTAATTGGGGGCCTTTACAAGAAAGTTCCATACAGATCAGATTATAAATTTTGTCGTTTGACGGTTTACAAGGTTCTACAAACTGAAACAAGGGTCTCAACTCTGGAAGTAATCTACAGAAATTGTTCAAATTTGACAGGCTTTTTCGTTTTACTGACTTAAATAATGCATATAAATTTCATACAGATCACATGATCACTTTTGTCATTCAAACGTTTACAATCACCATAATTATAGATGGAAATTGCTGAAATTCAATAGACCTGTTTCACAAATTCAAATGATGCATATAAATTTCATACATATCGGATGATAACTTTCATCAATCGAGCATTAACAAGGTTTAACAAAGTGAAACAAGGGCAATAACTCTAGAAGTAATTATTGTAAATTGGTGAAATTCAATAGGCTTCTTCGTCTCACTAATTTAAATCATGCATATGAATTCCACAAAGATCGGGTGATAACTTTGACGTTAGAGCGTTCACATGGACCAATGAGGTGAAAAAAGGGCCATAACTCTAGATGTAATAAACGGAAATTGCTGAAGTTCAATAAGCTTCTTCGTTTCAGTAATCTAAATAATGCATATAAATTTCAGAAAGATCGGATGATAACTTTTGGTGTTAGAGCGTTCACAAGGTGCAGTAAAGTGAAATAAGGGCCATAACTCTAGATGTAGTAAACAGAAATTGCTGCAATTCAATAGGCTTCTTTGTTTCACTAATTTAAATATAAATTTCAGAAAGATCGGATGTTAACTTTTGAAGTTAGAGCGTTCACAAGGTTCAACAAAGTGAAACAAGGGCCATAACTCTAGACGTAATAAACAGAAATTATTGAAATTAAATAGGCTTCTTCATCTCACTAATGTAAACAACATATATCAATTTTAAAACAATTGGATAATAACTTTTGGCGTTAGAGCGTTCACAAGAAATTGCAGAAGATGGACGGACAGACGGACGGACGGTATACCGATTACAAAGAGTTAATTATTACTCGTTGATTAAGAAACCCATCAAAGAGTCAATCATTTCAATTAATACCTTGAAAAGAGTCAAGCATTTCAATAAACAACTTAATTGAGGTAATCATGCCAAGTAAAAGAATGTATATAATCCAATGTCGGTTCATTCATTTCTATCAGGACACAGATCACCAAATATTCCTACGCCGTCACCCACGAAACAAGGGCCAAAGCTATTTTTAGTCTTCCTCTCCTTTTTCCTTTTTCCCCCTTTTGCATGGCGATTTTTGTTGACTTTTTGGTGTAGAATTGAGGAAAAGGGTTTGAAAATACATTTTCTGCCAGGTTTTGGTGAATATTCATAATTTTGATGCGGAAGGATACAAGAGTTGAGAGGTTGGTTAGGTTGAAATGTAGGGCCTGAAATTGCATGTTTACTTGTCTCTACTTCCAGCTTGTGTATCTCAAGTTTTTCATGAAGAACCTCATACGTGCTTTTGGGCAAGTGGTTGCCACATGTTGCTCCATCTATGGTAGAAAGCGTTCTACCCAACGGAAATTTGGGAAAAAGTTAGAGCCGGTCTAAGATACGAGAATTAACATTGGAGTCAATGGGGAAATCTTTAGTGATCTGTGTCCTGTCTGTGTGTGATAAGGCTGTCACTGATATGCCTTAGTTTTGAAAATATGAAGATTAAATTCTCAGAAAATATGAATAAAATAGTTGGCTACAGAAAAACTAAAAAAAGTTAATTAAAAAAAAAAAAAAATCAAAGTTGTGAAGAAAAATTGTGATTTTACTGCAAATTTCTCAATTTTCAATTTTTATTGAATTTTTAACAGTAAGTAAAATATTCTAATGCCCAATGTTGGCTTATTCAGTCTCAGAAAGCACAGATAAAGTGAACAGTATTGAAATTTCACCAAATTTTGTCTAAAGATCAGGAATATTCACAAAAAATCTTGAGATTCCCCCCCATTTCGATGTAGAAATTAATATTTTCATGACTACTAAAATGAGTCAAAATGTCTAAAAATGCCCATATTTTCTTTGCTAATATAACTTAGATGGGATCTACATGTTTGTCAGGTTTAGAAATAGCTCCAGCTTTCCTACAGAAAATTGAAAATTGGTAACACTGAGTTAATAATGTACAGCAGATGGGTTTGTACAAAATGTTCAAAACAGGGGTTGGCTCAATTTTGCCACTATTTTACCCAGAATAAGCATTTGTGGTTGAATTACAGCTAAGAATGTTATTTTTCACCCAAAAATATTTTTTTTGTGCATTTCAAGGATTTCTAACCCTTATTTGTTCAGAGTCAAACGTAGAACCCTGAGGCATTTCAGGCCAATGAGACCAGACTCAGATATAAAACTGGTGTAGATGTGTAAATGTCAGTTTAATGTTCAATATTTTCTTATCAAAATCCAGCATTTGTGGTGTTTGCTGCATTTATGTTGCCTATAAAACAATAAAATGTTAATTTTTCTCCTTTTCAGGCCTCTTTTTATGTTGTCAACTCTGTCATGACTACTTTTTTGACTTCTTTTTTCAGGAAATTAATGTAAAGTTCCAGACATCTGGCTTCAGCACAAGGATTGCAATACAAATTTGTAATATGCCTCTGAGGTTTGAGATGTTGGAAACATTGAAATATTCCCAAATTTGTGAAAATTGTGTATTCTGTGACCCTTCTGTTA